CTGGCCCACATCACAGTCATGGGAGAGCTTGGCTGGCTTGAGTGTGTACCAGCCAGTGGATGCCAAGGGGAAACTGCAGAGCAGGGGAGGACAGAGAGAAGTAAGACCCACTCCAGATTGCTAGACTTTCAATCTCAGATGGCTCCTCCCCCATAAGCAGACTTTCTGGTTTGGTGGAGCCACTTCAGCCCCTCCCTAGCAGCTTAGCCCAGAAGGTGGGAGCAGACCTTTGCCCCCTGCTGAAATAGACACCTTGCCAGCTTGCCACAGGAGGCTGAGGACAAGCTTACCCAACCCAACTTCACCCAGCCATACTCCCCCACCTAATTCTGCTGTGCTAGAGAATAAGAACTTGCGTGAAGTTCCAGGGCCTCACCCACCACCTGGAGCATTTGAGTGCTTCCAGAGGAACTAGAGCCAGTTACAGGACCTAAAAACAATATTGTAGCTTGTTCCTTCTGGCAAGCACCACCTACTAACAGGGAAGTCAATTTGCATGCCCTTTACAGCATTTACTGACTCAATTATACAGGGTGTGTTTGATTCTCACCCACAAGCACTATCTACTGTCTCAGAGATTACAATGGGCATGCCATTATAATTAATACTATTAAGACTACTACAGGGATGGGGAAAGAGACAGGATTTCAAAGACCTCCATCCTTTCTCACCAAAGGGAGACAGGGAACCTGCCCACTCACATAGCTCACCACTCCTACAACTAGGAACTGAGAAAACCACCACACCAAAGATATCTATAATGAAGACATCCACCCAAAACTTAGATTGCCATCAAAGCACCCATAAGCAAGGCCAAAAGTTCCTACCCAATGTATGCTACAAACTCACCTGTATGAGTGAGGGCAGGCAAAACAGCCCTATCTAAACAAAATAAAATCCAAAAATAAGAAGCAACAGCTGCCCCAGATAAGAAGGAATCAGTGAAAGAACTCTAGAAGTATGAAGAATCACAATGAAAGGCCACCCCTAAAAAGGAACACCAGCTCTCTAACAATGGATACCAACCAAAATCAGAATATTGAAATGACAGATCAAGAATTCCAAACATGGATTACAAGTAAACTCAATGAAATACGAGAGAAAATGGCAAACCAACACAAAGAAACCACAACAACAACAACAACAACAAAAATTCAGGAAATGAGTGAAAATTCACTAAGGAAATCAAATTATTTAAAAAAACAAGTAGAAATTCTAGAAATGAAAAATTCATTCAAGAAAATACAAAACACAGTGGAAAGTCCTAAGAATAAAATAGACCAGGCAGAAGAAAGACTCTCAGAGCTTGAAGACAATACCTTCAAATTAAACAAGTCAGTCAAAGATAAAGAACAGAGAATTAAAAGGAAGGAACAAAGCCTACGAGAAATATGGGATTATGTAAAGAGGCCAAATAAAAGAATTATAGGCATCCCTGAGGGTGAGGAAGAAAACACACGAGGGTTGTAAAACTGATTTGAGGGAATAACTGAGGAAAACTTCCCTGGTCTTACTAGAAATTTAGATATCCAGGTATAAGAAGCTCAAAAAACATCTGGGAGATCATATGATCATCTCAGTAGATGCAAAAAAAGCATTTGACAAAATTCAGCACCTTTTATGATAAAAACTCTTAACAAAATAGGCATATGTGGAACATACTCAAAATTATAAAAGCCGTATAGAACACATCCAGAGTCAACATCATACTGAATGAGGAAAAGTTGAAAGCATTCCCACTCAGAACAGGAACAAGATAAGGATGCCCAGTGTCTCCATTTCTATTCAACATACTGCTGGAATTTCTACCCAGAGCAATCAGGCAAAAGAAGGAAATCAGGGGTGTCCAAATGGGGAAAGAAGTAGTCAATCTATCGCTCTTTGTTGATGAAATGATCTTATATCTAGAAAATCCCAAAGATTCTGCCAAGAGACTCCTGGAACTGAGAAATAAATTCAGCAAAGTCTCACGTTACAAAATCAATGTACACAAATCAGTAGCATACCTATACATCAATAATAGTCAAGCTGAGGATCAAACCAAAGACTCAATACCTTTCAAAACAGCTACAAAGAAATACTTAGGAATATATTTAACCAAGGAGGTGAAAGATCTCTACAAAGAGAACTAAGAATCACTGAGGAAGGAAATTGCAGATGATGTAAACAAATGGAAAAACATATCATGGTCATGGATCAGCAGAATCAACATTGCTAAAATACACATACTACCCAAAATTATTTACAGATTTAATGCAATCCCCATCAAAATACCAACATCATTTTTTGCAGATCTATAAAAAACAATTCTACTCTTTTTGGAACCAGAAAAGAGCCCGAATAGCCAAAGCAACCTTAAGCAAAACGAACAATTCTGGAGGCATCACTTTACTAGACTTTAAACTATACTACAAGGCTATAGTAACCAAAATAGCATGGTACTGGCACAAAAATAGAGACATAGATCAAGGAATAAAAGAGAACAGAAAACCCAGATGTAAAAGCATCCACATATTGCCATCTGATCTTCAACAAAATAGACAGCAATATACATGGAGG